CCCCAAAACCCCAAAACCCCAAAACCCCATCATCAATAAAATCTGATTATTAGAAATTAAAATCTTTAATAATAATTAAGCTTGATTTTCCTTTAATAAATAATTTTATTATTATAGCTGAATTAGCGTAATGATAATTAAAGTCCCAATTCATTCAATTTCTAGAATTGAGTTGAGAGGTTCTTTCAGTTAAGTCAAGTGTAATATCACCCTCTTCCAAGTGAAAGTCTTTGGGAATAAAGACTTTAGAAATCTTTGAGCAGCCACTTACCTCGCTCTTTGTTTATTGTAGTCAGTTGCTCTACCCTCAAATTCATAGCCTCTTATAGAGAAGATTATTGTGTAAACATTCATATTCTTAAGAGTATCCTTGCTTTCACTCAGATGTTCTTAGAAGTTGAGGTTTTTATGCTTGCCTTCAAGACTCTTAACCACTGTTAGAGGAGTGAATTTCTGGCAAAGATGCTTCTTACTCTGCATTAGCTCAGGGTCATCTATCTCTGTATCATCACCGTCTGGTTGACTTAGACTATCAATATTTTCCATATTAGATGAGGACTGTGAGTCTTCATTGCTATAAGAAAGTTAATTCTCTTTGTCAGCCATTCCAGATGGTTTTGATGGTGAGATGAACTTGCCCTTAGACTTCTTACCAGAGCTTTCCATCAGCTAGTGCTGCCTTACTTCTTGATCTTTTTCTTGATTTAGCAGATCTCTAAGTTTACTTGGATCATTCAGGATTTCATTTATGGCTTATGAATCTTTCCCAATGATCCCTCCATTTCTATACTTAACTTTCCATTCTTCATAGAGTTTGGGGCACACATTTTTCAAGGCTTAGATGGCTGAAAGGTATTTAGCTTACTTTTTATTTTAAGCAATACCTCTGCCTACCTCTCTGCCATTTATCTTTACTTGACAGTAAAACCTCAACAGAGGATTATCATGAGCCTATTCTCTATAATTTAAAGTTAGATTAGTTGCAAATAGTTTGATGTTTTGTAAATTTTAAATTCGATCTTGAGAAGATTAATTTAGCTTAAATGTATTTTGTGAAGATTAGCTTGTAATTAACTTACACAGCATTATATTGAGGTATTCCTTGGAAGAATTTGCCAGTAATTTCATTAAGCAGAGATATTTCGTCTTTATTGTCACCAATCACATCTTTGAACTGGGCTTTTATCCTAAGATCAAGTTTCTCTAGTTCACTCTCTAGTTGCTTGTTGAGTCTTTAATTTTCCAGATTTTGTGAGAGTTAATAGTTCTCCTGTTGATTTTCATCTTCTCCATTAAGCATATGAGAATCATTGATCTGGATTAAGGGATGAGTATTGCACATCAGATTGAGTGTTTTTTTGATTCTGTCTACTTCTTATTCTACCTTTACATGATCGATCTTAAGACCTAGTATACCATTCTATAAATGTGCTTAGTCTTGATAATTAGTGACATTCAAATTTTGTTGTCAAAATTTTTGGAAGAATGCAAGTGAAAATTAACTTACCAAGATTTGATCTATTTAACTGAAGTGGAATACTGGTGCAACTGAGCAAACTTGCTGCCTCACATTCACATAGATAATGTTTTACTTATCTGCCATTGATTGATTAATATGGGTTGAAAAATATTTGTTTGAGTCTTACTTATATATAGCTTGTACCAGTCTTCTGGTAGTTCAATAGCATCAAGCATTATTCTAATCAGAATTAAATTTATTAATCTTGCTTGACTCTGAATTTATAGTCTTACGGGGTTTTGGGGTTTTGGGGTTTTGGGG